GTATGGAAAATACATGTATTTCAGTCTTGTTCATGTTTTACTATGCTGTCTGGTTGTTCTCACAAGCTGTTTTAAATACAGAACCAGACTATTGGGATTAGTATGCGTTTTCCTGGACAGCTCATGATAAAAAAAAAATTTAAAAAAATGCATGTTATCCCTGGTAATCAGTCACAGTAGTCACTAGGTACAGTATTTTGGTAACAAAGACAGAGAATAGCAAACATCTAGTTGGTTGCTTTGGGCATCAATTGACCTATCCTGGTTGAACATTTTTTTTTTTTTTTTTTTTTTTGGTTAAAAAAAAAACGTTTTATTGAAGCACAGGCATAGGATAGTACGCAGTGCATAAGGTAAATGAAAGACATAAAAGCAAAACTAACAATCTGTGACATTACAATGAGTAAGTGATGACAATGATGCACTGACATATACACGGGTCCATTCCTGGACCAACCTAGTTTTCGTGAGGTGATACATATGATGTATGGCAAAAGAAAACCATAAAAACAGTAAAGCCCACCAAGCAATATATAAAAGAAAACCGAAAAGGTTATGAGAACATCTTAAAGCGGCTCTGACTCTTATTCAATGAGTATGGTAAAAATGTGGTGAGTACTGGGCACGTTGCATTAGCCAGTCTCCATCACATCAATACATTTAAGGTATTACAAACAAAAATTACCCACAGGTATCAAGAGTTTGTAACCTTCGGTCCCAGATTTCATTGTATTTAGATGGGCAACTCCTGTGGGGGTGGATTAGTTGCTTATAGGGTAGGGTGGAGGTTATTTCCTCAATCCAAGTATTAACTGTGGGAGATATGGCCTGCATCTAACCCCATGCAATGAACAAGGTTTTTCATGTACAAACATCTTAAAAAATGTATCCAGCTCAGGATTAACAGCTAGCCTACAGGGCACTTCTACCCCCTTCCAGCCCAGGCTAATTTTCAGCTTTCAGCGCTGTCGCACTTTGAATGACAATTGCGCGGTCATGCAACATTGTATCCATATGACATTTTTATCATTTTTTTGTGACAGAGCTTTATTTTTGGTGGTGTTTAATCGCCTCTGGGTTTTTTATTTTTTCTTTAAACAAACCAAAAACCACTGAAATTTTTGAAAAAAAAGTTTTTTTCTTAGTTTTTTTTATAAAATTTTGCAAATAAAGTGATTTTTCTCCTTCACTGATGTGCTCTAATGAGGCTGCAGTGATGGGCACTGATAGGCTGCACTGATGCACACTGATAGGTGGCACTGATGAGGAGGCACTGGTAGGGGGCACTGATGGGCATTGACAGGCATCACTGATGGGCACTGAAAGGCAGCACTGATACATGGCACTGACTGGCACTGATAGGTGGCACTTATTGGCAGCACTGATAGGTGGCACTGATTGGCACTGATGGGTGACAATGAAAGGCAGCGCAGACGGGCACTGATATATGGCATTGATGTGCACTGATAGGCACTGATATGTGGCACTGATGGGCACTGGCACGAGACACTGATGAGCACTGACAGCTGGCACTGATGGACACTGACAGGTGGAGCTGCTGGGGCTACACTGATCATCAGTGCCCTAATGATCAGTGTACATGTACCCTCCGCTGAAAGCCAATTACCGGCTCTCCTCTGTCAGCATGACAGCTCGAGAGGAGAGAAATGCCGATAACCGGCATTTCCCTGTTTACATGTGATCAGCTGTGATTGGACACAGCTGATCACATGACCGAGCCAACATCTTCGGCTCTTTCCGTGATCAGTGATCCGCTGTGTCCGAGGGGCACAGCGCACCGCCGATCACCACACTGCGCGGTGAGAATGGGAGGACGTCATATGACGTCCTCCCAGAACGAGAGAACCACCTTGTGTCCATCATATTACTATATGGCGGGTGGGAGGTGGTTAAAGTAAAGACCTAATAGGTATGGTTTGGGGTGTAGTGTGAGTGGGGGAACCCATGGTATCATGGAGGGACTTCACCACCTGAGTCCAGTATCCCTGGATAATGGGTGAAGCACACAGCAGGTGGAAAAAGGTGCCAGGGGTAAGTGAGCAAATGACACAAAGGACTGTGTGGTTTGGTTTGGCTAGACGAATAGGGTTAGGTAGGCGCTATGCACTATATATAATCGTGTAAGGCGATCAGACAGCTCGGGGAACACTGCTTTACAGTTATCAAGCACCTCACCTCAATCATCATCATCTAGATCCGCAGTGTGTGCATCCCAACTCACCTTTATCTGGTTAAAAAAGACCATTAATTTTGAAAAAAAACAATGTTTTTCTTCGTTTAGGTTATAAAATTTTGCAAATAACTAATTTTTATTTACTGATGTGCTCTGATGAGGCGGCACTGATGGGCGCTGCTAGTCGGCACTGATGGGCGCTGCTAGTCGGCACTGATGGGCGCTGCTAGGCGGCACTGATGGGGCTGCACTGATAATAACGGATTGTTGTCATGTACTGACAGTTTTGCCGCTAATCGGCTTTTCTTTCCATACACAGACATAGCATGTGCGGAAAGGACTGATAACTGGTGGCAAGTCTGTTTATATGTGATCAGTTGTGATTGGCCCTTTAGCTAGATCTGTGGTCAGCAATGTCTAAAGGACACCGCAATCACAGAGCGTGCCTTGGGAGGCACGGTTCAGGTAGGACTTCTATGGATGTCCTCTCAGAACTAGACAACTGTGCCATCTTTCAGCTATAGTGCGATCGGCAAGTGGTTAAACAATCCTATCAGTTTTACCAGCTATTATCTGTAAACTATAGTCGAAATCCCTAGAGCGCCCTAGAGGGACAACCATGGCTCCCTCCTTAGATACAGTGGCATGAGTGACCGTAGCCATACTGTAGGCAGGAAGTTTATTTGCAGGATTACCAGGCATACATAAAGAAATAAGCCTGAAAAAAAGGGGAAAAAATGCAGCCACCTCATCTAAAAACTGGCAAACTGTAATATATACAAATTTTGTATTTAGGTTTAGCTATATTTTTACTAGTTCAATGCCTTTCCCCTGCTGCTGCTGCTCCCACTGTTACTACCAGCTGTCAAAATGATAGATGAGAGTTTTTATGTACTGTATTAGCTGTCAAATAGCAGCTTCTCCTGTGTAAAATTACTCTTGCAGAGGGTTTACAAGTGTCATTGGACTTATTTCATTCATATGTAGATCAAATGTGTGACACTCGACCTGCATATGGTATCAGTTAAGTCTGCTATAGACAGAATGAAATTTGACCTGTTCAGCAGGAGCCAGACAAATTTCGATCCATGCGGGCTGGTTGTACTGAAGTCAATCCAGTCGAGCCTGTCTGATTTTTTTTTTCTCGTACGATCACTGCCAACGACATTAGTCGCCAGCAGTGATTATTGCATGCTGACAACGGGGAAACCTCCCACTTTCAGAAATAAATAGTGCTGCAGGACGGAATCCACCATCAACACTGACTGTGTTGATGGGGGAATTGAGCGATTTTCTTTCCTTGAGCCCATGGTTGAAGGAAGGAAATTGCATAATCTATGGCCAGCCTTAATTAATCCTTACAAGTAAAAGATTTTTTTTTCAGTGTCCCCTAAAAAATGCACAAAATTGAAAAGAAACACCATTGTAGTGTCATCCTAAATGGAACAAAGTATAGAATAAAATGCATACATTTTTATATTTACTATAAAAATACTTTTGTTAAGCTAACATTGGTCAAAATAGAAAAACAATGCATTCTATAGATTACATAAAATAATATAATTATTTTTTTCCAAGACAATATTGCCAATTAAAGTCTAGTTTGTCCTCACAAAAACAATGTATGTATTGCACTGTTATCTTCAGAAATGACAAATTAATCAACAGCCACAAATTATAGGTATTTATTGCTCTGTCCACAAGGGGTATGAAGGTATGAGCACTAAACATTTTAAAGTGAACAGTCACCCCAAAGGTCATGGTGTGCTGCCCCGCCTCATGTTTGATCTTTTTTTTTTTTTTTTTTTCTAACAAAGTAATATATGTATTTTGCATTTAGTTTTCGCATCAGGTCCTGAAAGAACCCTGCGTCACATCTGCACATTTCCCGTTTTCCCCTGGCCATCTGCAAATGCGTGGGGTTTCCCGCACATATGCAAAGATTGCTGTCAGGGAGGTCCAATACCTTCCTTTGCGCATGCACGAAAAAACTGCTCATGCACAGATGTACCTATGGGCTTTGCCAGAACCTGAAGGCCAAGAAGAGCCCATTGGTATATCTGTGTATGCACCATAATGGCGGCACCTGGGGGGAAGGGGGTGGGGTAGAGCCACCTGGGAGACTGGCTGAAGATCCGCTTTTAGTAAACCTGTAACTCCACCACACTAATCAAAGTAAGGTGACATTAAGTACCAAACCTGTTATTACTGTTTAATTCTATCAAGCTATAAAGTCAGTGAGGCTGCCTATGTCTGCCTATGTCTCGGCCTGGCCACTCCTGCTACAAACCATAAGACTGCTTAATAACAAGATCAGTTTCACAGAAAAAGTGTGGTATTTTAGCACTGCAGGCAGTGAGTGACATCTTGCCCTTACTTCCTTGCTGTGATTTATTTCACAACTGTGAAAACATGCACTTTAAAGTGGAAGTAAAGAAAAATCCTAACCAACTCTAAACCCACTGGCAGCCACATTCTTAGCCTAATCTATCTAGCCCTGTAAAGAAGAAATCGCTATACTTGCCTGTTCTGCAGCCGCTCCAGTCCAGTCTCCAGCAGCGCTCTCTGTGTGCTGGAGAAATCCGACAACTGCTGGGAAATCTCTGAGAAGTGACGCCACCGGTAAACTTATTATGGGGCTTCCGTTGTCGGCTGCCTTTCCTGAACACTCCAACACGCTGAAGCCGCCTTCAGCTCAGCGTGGGACCGGACCGGAACGACTGAAGAACAGATAATTACAGTAAAGCACTGAACAAACTGTTGGCGTTTATATAAATCCTTGAATCCTAATGGCACCCCATGCACT